TAGCTCCATCTGTATTTATAATATATACCTGAATATACATACACATATATTAATTTTCTATAAATATTTGAATTTATTATCGGCTTCCTTCCATAATTTGTTATATTCACTTTAAACGTAGAATATTTAATGTATTGAACACAATATCAATTCATAAAATTGTTCAAAACAAAATAAAATTACGAAAAATTACTGGCTATGAGAGAAAAAACATATGTGCGCGCACTGCTCTCTCTTGCTTAGGTATATCCCCCACTCAACTCCCGTTCGCCTCGCTCGATCACACTTTTCGTAACGCTTTCGTCGCGCGCTCGCCAGCTTACTCCCCAATTCAAGCGTGCGTAAAGTTTTACTTCAAAAAGCGCTTCTTACGAAGCTTCCTTCTAATGGGCTTCCAGAGAAATGTGAAGGTAGAGCCCCCACATAGGCCCGGTTTCCCGGCGCAGTGCCACCGCTGCCAACTTTATGGTCACGCGGCGGCCAACTGCTCCGCCCCACCCAGGTGCGTTAAGTGCCTAGAGCCACATAACACGAAAGAGTGTCCCCGGCCCAAAGACGCCGAATCCCCCGCCCGCTTGTGTCCTGTGCAACCAGACAGGACACCCGGCTAATTACAAGGGTTGCCCACGCGCACCTCAACCTCGCCCCAGTAGGCAAGCTCCACCGCCGATGAATGACCGCTCATTCCCGGCCCTCCAACAACGGCCCCGTCAGGGCCTTCCTCAGCCCACCCAGGGCTTCTCTCGACCCTCTCAGGGTCCCCCTAGGCCCCCCTCAGGGCATAATTCGGCCCCCCTCCGAGCTTCTCCAAGCCAATGCAGCCTCCAGTCTTTCCCTGGGGGCCCAAAAAGGCAGACCCACCGCGGACAACCTCGTACGCTCATGAAGCAGAGCCCACAATCGACGACTACAACACGCTATATTCCGCTATTAGGAATATCGATGTTAGGGAAATAACAGTAGTATCACGCAAACTGCGCGCGGCCAAGTCCCCCCAAGAACGTCTCCTCGTTCTTGCGGAGCACAATAACCTTCTGTTAGCGTTGTAAGTTAGGTTAACTTAATTAACTTAACTTCAATGACTGAACGAATTAACCTACCAAGATCTCACGATCGTATCAAACCTAAGGGTTTATCGCTTGTATCATTTAATATTCGCGGCTTGCGAAATAACCTCCCAGAGCTCAAGCTCTTTCTTCGGAATCGTGAAGTCGATTTCCTCCTCCTACAGGAAACTAATCTCAAAGCTAAGGACACTAGAGGCCTTTCTATTAAAAACTTCTCTCTTCTTCGTAATGACAGACCCGACCGCCGAGGCGGCGGAACGGCCATTTATTACAAGAAGACACTTCATTGCTCGCCCATTTCTACTCCGCAGCTTACCAACATGGAAGCCACGGTATGCAGGCTAGCTATGGCTGGACATCAGTCCATCCTCATAGCCTCCTGTTACATCCCTTCAGGAACCTATCCCCTCAAAAAAGATTTTGAGGCCATTTTATCCTTGGGCAATTCAGTCATTATGTTTGGAGATTTTAACTCCAAGCATACTGAATGGACATGCCGTACTACGTCCCCTAGTGGCAAGATACTGTCCGATATCACGCAGTCTCTTGATATTACCGTCCACAGTCCTCTCGGTGTTACTCACTTTCCCGATAACACCGATCACGCACCCGATGTCTTAGATTTTGCGTTACTCCAAGGAGTTTCTCTCAACCTCAGAGCAATCGAGACACTAGACGATCTAGGATCAGATCACCGACCGGTCTCCCTCATTCTTGGTCATCAGCCACCTCCCCCAACACACACGAAAACCTTCACTAACTGGAAGGGATTCAAGGAGTCCCTAGCTAAAGCTCTGGACTCACAGGATACTACCATCCCATACCGTCGGACTTAGACAGTCCCGAAAAAATCGACACCGCGGTCGACTCACTCTCCACCCTTATTAAATCCTCCCTTAAGGAGAACGAAAGGGTCGTCCCGGTTGCTAACAATAGTGGGCTTCCCCTACACATTAGCAACCTATTAAAAGCCAAAAAAGCTGCTTTCCGGAGAGCAGCAAAATATCCCACCCCCGAATACAGGCGCGCGGCCAATCGTCTTCAACGAAAACTCCGCTTCCGCCTCTCTGAATTCCAAGATCTCGAAAAGAGTAAGCTCATGGAGAATATCTCTCCATCTCACACAGCGTACTATCAGATGGCTAGAGCCCTTCCCATAGACGCTATCACCCACACTCCCCCTCTCTCCCGTCCCGACGGCACGGTTGCCTTCGAGGACGCGGAAAAGGCTGAGTGCTTTGCAGATAGCATTGCCGCTCAATGCTCTCCCAGTTCTCAACCCGTCGACCCCTCACACGTCCAGGCAGTGGAGGATGAGGTCCGCCGCCGGAACTCACCCCCCACGGCCTCCGAACCTATCTCTGTGTCCAATGATGAGATTTCATCCCTCATCAAAGGACTTAAGCCTAAAAAGGCTCCGGGCGCGGATGGCA